AGGAAGGAAGGAAGGAAGGAAGGAAGGAAGGAAGGAAGGAAGGGAATGGGACAGGAGAAGAGAGGGAAGGGAGAAGGGGAGAAAAAGAAAGGGAGAGAGGAATAAAGGAAGGAAAGGAAAGGAAGTCAATTGTTAACAGATAACAGATAATCAGAGTTGGAAGGGACCTTGTAGGTCATCTAGTCCAACCCCCCGCCCAAGCGGAAGACCCTATACCATTTCTGACACGGGGCAGTCCAATCTCTTCTTGAAAGCCTCCAGTGATGGCGCTCCCACAACTTCCGAAGGCAACTTCTGTTCCATCGGTTGATTGTTCTCCCTGTCAGAAAGTTTCTCCTTATATCCAGGTTAAATCTCTCCTTGTTCAGTTTCCATCTATTATTCCTTGTCTGGCCTTCAGGTGCTTTAGAGAATAGCTTGACCCCACCTCCTCCCTGTGGCAGCCCCTCAAATAGTGGAAGGCTGCTCTTCTGTCACCCCTGGTCCTTCTCTTCACTAGACCAGCCAAGCCCAGTTCCTGAAACTGTTCATTGTATGTTTTGGCCTCCAGTCCCCTAATCATCCTGGTTGCTAATCATCCTTGTTGGTCTCACTATGTATGAACATGTATCAGAATGGTCGAACAAATGGCAACTTCAAATCTCAACAAATAAATGCTCTGTCTTACATATTGGCAAAAAAAAATAATAATCAGAAAATAAAATACAGGCTGAATAGTCAAGATCTTGTTGATAATCCAAGCTCTGTAAAGGACCTTGGAATACCCATCTCAAATTATCTAAGTGCTAGAGCCCACTGTAATTACATAGCCAATAGGCATTAAGAGTTGTTAACCTAATCCTACGTAGCTTTTTCTCTGGTAATATCACACTACTAACTAGAGCATACAAAGCATTTGCTAGACCAATACTCGAATACAGCTCATCAGTCTGTTACGTATCTGATATTAGCACAGTTGAGAAAGTCCAGAAATATTTCACAAGAAGAGTTCTCCACTCCTCTACTCGTTGTAGAATACCTTATGCCACCAGACTTGAAATTCTAGACCTAGAAAACCTTGAATTATGCCATCTTCGGTCTGATCTAAGTATGGTATATAAAATCATACATTGCAAGGTCCTACCTGTCAATGAATACTTCAGCTTCAACCATAACAACACAAGAGATACAATAACCATAACAACACAATAGATACAAACTCAAGGTTAACCGCACCAAACTTGATTGCAGGAAATACAACTTCAGCAACAGAGTCGTCAACGTCTGGAATACTCTACCTGACTCTGTGGTTTCTTCCCCAAACCCCAAAACTTTAATCTTAGACTGTCTACTATTGACCTCAAGAAAGAATTATGTTGTCCTGATATTATTCAAGAGCCAAATCCAACAACAGCTTAAATATATTGTTTGCTCCAAGTGTGGTGCTAATTATTTATATATTATTTACTGATTTATAAAATTTATAGGCCACTCACCTTACCTGAAGATGGACAGCCTATAATTCTGTCTTCCCTGGCCTGTTACAATTCATAACTCAAATAAGATTAAGTTTTTCTTTGTTCAAAAGTTACAGTTGACCTCCAGAAATAACCAGTGTACATTTCTGTGAGATAAAAAAAGAATTTTGATACTGCCCTAGTCCCAAGCTCCATGTACAGATAGTCCTCGAATTACAACAGATTGTTTAATGACCATTCAGAGTTACAATGGTACCTAAAATGTCTTATGACCATTTTTCACACTTACGACTGCTGCAGCCATCCCCGTGGTCTCATGATCAAAATTCAGACGCTTGGCAACTGACTCATATTTATGATGGTTGCAGTGTCCCATACTGCCACCTCTTACAATGCTAGACAACACAGTATCAACAGTACAGACCTTCACGTTTCTAGGTTCTGTCATATCCCAAGACTTAAAATGGACATCTAACATCAAAAACATCATCAAAAAAGCACAACAAAGAATGTTCTTTCTGTGCCAACTCAGAAAGTTCAAACTGCCCAAGGAGCTGCTGATCCAGTTCTACAGAGGAATTATTGAGTCTATCATCTGCACCTCTATAACTGTCTGGTTTGGTTCTGCAACCCAAGAGGACAGACACAGACTCCAGAGGGTAATTAGGACTGCAGAAAAAACAATGGCTACCAACCTGCCTTCCATCGAGGACCCGTATCCTGCACGAGTCAAAAAGAGGTCTGTGGAAATATTTACAGACCCCCTCACATCCCGGACATAAACTGTTTCAACTCCTTCCCTCAAAATGACGCTAAAGAGCACTGCACACCAGAACAACTAGACACAAGGAGAGTTTTTTCTCGAATGCCATCACTCTACTAAACAAATAATTCCCTCAACACTGTCCAACTATTACAAAGTCTGCAGTACTATTACTATTAATCTTCTCATCACTCCTTATCACCCATCCCCTCCCACTTGTGATTGTGTGACTGTAACTTTGTCGCTTGTATCCTTACGATTCATATTGACTGTTTCCTTGTATGATTTGATTGCTTATTGTACCCTATGACTATCATTAAGTGTTGGACCTTATGATTCTTGACTCTTGACGAATGTATCTTTTCTTTCTATGTACAGTGAGAGCATTTGCACCAAGACAAATTCCTTGTGTGTCCAATCACACTTGGCCAATAAAGAATTCTATTCTGTTCTATTCTATTCTATTCTATTCTATTCTATTCTATTCTATTCTATTATTCTATTCTATTCTATTCTATTCTATTCGATTCTATTCTATTCGATTCTATTCTATTGCTGGTGCCCTCATTAGATATAGAACAAGGCATTTTATTCAAGCACAATAAGATAATTATCCATGATGTGCCCATTACCATGTGAAATAGAAAGGTTATAAACATGCCAATGAAGATGTGAATGCTTGCTCAATGGTGATATTTGCTGAGCGATCTTGAAACCATCAATCTTCTGTCAAGGAGAAATTAAGATTGGAAATCCATTAATCAAAGAATTCAAAGTTATGTTGTTAACCTCTTGCTCAATACAACTGTACATAACTGCCATGTTGTATGACAGGTAGCCCTCGACTTACAACCACAACTGAGCCCAAAATTTCTGTTGATTAAGCGGGACATTTGTTTAGTGAGTTTTGCCCCATTTTACAACCTTTCTTGCCACTGTTGTTAAGCAAACCACTGCAGTTGTTAAGCCAGTCACAAGGTTGTAAAGTGAATCTGGCTTCCCCGTTGACTTTGCTGGTCAGCGGGTCACAAAAGGGGATTACGTGACCCCTGGGACACTGCAACCATCATAAATACAAGTCAGTTGCCCACCGGCTGAATTTTGATCACGTGACTATAGGGATGGCTGCAAGTGTGAAAAATGGTCATAAGTCACTTTTTTCAATGCCGTGGTAACTTCGAACAGTCACTAAATGAGTGGACATAATTCGAGGACAGCTTGTACTACAGTTCCATAAACTGGTCGATGAGTGGTGTGAAATTATGGGTTTTCCTGAGATTGCATAGTAAATTTATTTGTAATTTGGGGACCAGAACAGGCTACTTGAATTGTATATGTGTGAGTCAAAATAAGTGTGTTACAGACCATTGGTTTTGAATTCCACTGGTTTGCATTTTCCAAGGCAACCAAACTAAGACAAGACAGTGAGTGTTAAATACATGTCTATCTCTCAAATGCTGTAAAACAATGCACGTGCTTTGAACCAAACTAGTGGCTTGTATTTACAGTAGTTAGTTACCTTGACTAATCTGCCACACTAAAATTAGTAGTATTTTCAATTTAGATCCATGTGGTTGACATTGTCAGTGTGAGTATAAGACTTAATAATGCTTTTTAAAAAGGTAATGTTACTCTTTTGCAGTAAACTTGAGGCATTGTTATAACTTGAGCTTGTGATTAGCACATGAGGTTTTCTGTATAATAGGCCACAAATTTATTGTGAACAACCAAAGCATAGGCAGGGAACCCTATGGCCTAATCCTATACTATTTTATAAAAGTGGCTGTCCAGTCTCTTCTTAACAACCTCCAGTGTTGGAGCACCCACAACTTCTAGAGGCAAACTGTTCCACTGATTAATTGTTCTAACTGTCAGGAAATTTCTCCTTAGTTCTAAGTTGGTTCTTGATGAGTTTCCATCCTTTGCTTCTCATCATGCCTTGGAGAATAGTTTGACCCCCTCTTTCTTCCTCTTGAGAAAGAAAATTACATAGAGTGATTGCAA